GAGTGAAGATACACCAGACTTGGTCCATGTGACATTTGGTGTTGGACATCCTGTTGGAGTGCAGCTCAGAGACAAAGAATCTCCTTCTACCATAATAATGGTATTAGATGATGGCACTACACTCACGCCAGGTGGAACTTTTGAAACAAAGTTTAATAATCAAAATATTTGTCTTCACGAACAACACAAATTTTTCATTGACGAAATATCCAAAGAGGCCGTACTTGTACTCCCTATTTTTTGTTGAATTCCTAAAAACCTCCCTTTTCATACACCATGCTGTTCAAACTTATTAGAGCAAATCACAAATCAAATMAACAGTCCAGTCCATGCTCTCCGATTGCGATTCAGAATGACTTAATTTACATGTTGTAAACATTTCCTGATAACAAATTCACTTAATGTATGGAACCTTATTTTTTGTTATGAATTATGCAAATGATGATCGATTGGACTAAAGAAGAATTGAGTGGAGGAGAATAGAAGATCCCATCTCCTTTTTTTCAGTATCGCACCATCTCCTATCAAAACAGTGTTCTTTTTAAAATACTTGTGTCATATCACCAATTATCAAATTTTCCACTTCTATAACTGATTGATAAATGCCATGTTTATTTATTTCTTATTTCTTACCTTCAACTGTGACATTCTGATAAACAACATTACCAATTCCTACTTCGTTTATTGCAACACAAGAAAAATTGYCTCCGTTGCATCCTCGAATGCTTGATATCACGTGACTTGTTGTACAGGTGCTGCTGGACTTGTTAACCAATAGCTGATCTCCCTGATAAAATAGCACGTGACAAGTAGAGGGTTTTGCYYRTGATTGACATGTTARCATYACTGYTTCTCCAAGTATCAAAACATTGTTGCTTTTGTTAAGTGTAATGTTCGTGTTTTCTGGTTTGTCTACAGAAAACAATGCACAGACACTTGTTAGGGAGTCAGATATAAATTACATTGTAAAAACCAACATATGAAAAAATCATTTCTTACACGTGACAGTGATGAATGATCGAGCAGTTGCTGCAGGACACTCATTTCCATTGTGTGCTGTACATTGGTACGTAGCCTCGTCTCCACGTACAATACTTCTGAAGGTGTAACTAGAATCTTCAGGATATGATGAACGCCCAACTTTACTCCAAGTCACGTTCATTGGATCACTACCCGTTACATTGCACATAAGAGCCACTCTGTCTCCTTCTACTACAGTCTGGTTTGGAGACGACCAAGTTATCTGTGAAGGAGCTGAAATAGAGAGAACTCACCGTTTGTTTATCGCACGCTTCCAAAGAGCAATGCAGATGATTTGTACCTTTAAGATGTTACGATCTGAAACTCAATAACTTATCTGTGGTGGTGCTGAAACATGATCTCAATAATAATACTCGTTTTATGCTAACCTTCTATTGGGATTCTGACGTATATGTAATTATTCGTTTTTCTCTTATCTACAGTATCCTCTTTAAGTAACATACGTACCTTTGGTGACAATAATTACCGTCGCATTCTGTCCAGTTCCAACAGTGTTCTTTGGTTCACACTTGTATGTGTTATTGCCTGCTTGTGGAACATTCAACTGATAGACTCCAGACATGCTGGTNTGTACAAGCTGATCATTCAAGTAGAAGCGATATTCATGTGCTGGTGGGTTGGCATTTGTTGTACATTGTAAAGTAACTGTGTCATTCAGACAGGCTTCAGTCTTTGTGCTGGTCAGGTTCGTAAGATATGGTTTATCTGGAATATTAATTCATGATCATTTGATTATTGTAAAGTAGATTCCTCTAACATCATTGAGAAAGAAATATGCTTAAGGTGGCTGGACCCCCTCACGCTTGACCGCTACCTTCCACTTTTGGAACGCTGGCGCATAAACGTGTTTTATCCGATTGCAAATCTTTACAGAGTAAAACTAAATGAGCAATGACTTTTGTGAATATATAGCTCTGAAATATTAATTTCGGCCGTATCAAATCCATTGTTTAGTTTTGAAGTAGATTACGCACTATATTTAAATAATCTCAAATATCTCATAATTAGCTAGATAGATTTTTTCAAAAATCCCTATAAATGGAGGCATTTAGTATATAATTATGTGGTACGAAGCATTTTAGTGTTGAACACTCTGCAAGGCTAAAATTATTTTCTAAACGAAAACAAATATTTTATCATAATCACGTGTTATGACGTCCGATCTCACTAAAAATTACATCAAACATGAATTCAATCTTTATGTGACTTATTTTCAAAAAAGATTTGCAATCGGATAAAACACGTTTATGCGCCAGCGTTCCAAAAGTGGAAGGTAGCGGTCAAGCGTGAGGGGGTCCAGCCACCTTAAATGAACTCGTGGTTAATAATTATGACATCCAACAAGCGGTACAGTATTTACCCCTTCCTTTTAAAAAGGAATGGATTTAGATAACAATGATAAAGATGTTCTTCAACTGATTTGCACAACTAATGTATTATCATACGTAATGAAAATGCTTGACAAAGAAAGGTATTGTGATCCGAGTAAGGTAATAATAATAATAAAAATATCTTTATTTATCCTGATTTAAAAAACCGATCAGCTGGACACGATAGAACAGCTGGTATGAACCGGTGATCAGCAATATAAAATCTATAAAAATCTAAATAAAATCTATATCAAATTTACGATGAAGAACCTAAAAGTATAAATATAAGRAAAGAGAAAATTAAGTATAATGTATACACATATATACACAGAAACACAAAAACCCCGCGCCTACAAAACATATATATCCATTGTATATACGAGGGGCGAAAAAAGAAAAAAAATACTCACACGTTACATTCACATAGATTGTTCTGTGAAGGGGACTTCCAACAACTCCATTGTCTACTGTGCAATTGTAATAACCAGTGTCATTTTTGTTCAACGTCTTCATCCAATAAGATAAAAAGAAGACATTGCCACTAACTAATGGTGTGTTCACTCCTGCAGTCTTTGTCCATGTGATATTTGGTGTTGGGCATCCTGTGGCAGTGCAGTTCAGTACTAAAGCATCTCCTTCCACCATCGTTATAGAATCACGTGATGGTGCAACACTGATATTAGCAGGAACTGGAACAAAAAAATTACAAGAAAAAGACTTCAAAACCAGTAAACAAATATTTATGATCTCCACCGTCAAGGCACTCCTATTGGCGGTTATTTTGTATGTTTTGCATTATTCCACCTGTAATTATTTGCACAAACTTTCATCTGGACTTTCCTTTTTATTTTTTTCTTACCTTTTATTGTCAGGTTGATTTTATCCTCTTCTTGCCCGT